CATCACATAACCGTACCAAGACCAATTTGCATATTAGTAGATCCATCTGCACCAAGTAAGTTTACAATAACAAATATGGAACGCCAAAGATGCCTTTAGTGATACCAAAATTGCTGGTTTTCATGACATGGGGAAAGCACTCAAACATGAGTCACTGAGGCTACATAAATTAAAGGGAAATCAAAGTTTTAAAGCATCACAAGGATGGTACCTTAAACGAAATGGAATAAGTTTTAGATGATCGACATATATTGCTCAGCATGCAAGACCTCTAACAGATCACAGAGTAGATAGGTTCCTACGCTACATTCTAAAGATGAGAAGAATGAGAGAATATGATCATCGTTTTATCGGAAATATGGATGAGACTCCAGTTTGGTTTGAGCAGGGAGAAGCACACTAAACAAGAAAGGAGTGTCAGATGTTAGTGTTGCGAGTACTGGGCATGAAAAACAGCGGCTCACCGTCACTCTTGGAGCCTATGCAGATGGAACTAAAATGCCACCTCTTGTGCTTCTTCCAGGTGTTAGGCCTTTGAAGAAGGAGGAAATCCCGCCTGGGGTTGTTGTATACACGTGCGGATCCGGGAAAAAAAGTTGGGCTGACGAAGACAGCATTAAATTTTGGCTCAGGAGAATATGGGAGAAAAACAACTCTCAGAGACGTCTGTTGGTATGGGATTCATTCCGTGGGCACCTCACTGACTCTGTTAAAAAACTTGTCCATGAGAGCTACAACAGTGACCTTGCTGTCATACCTGGTGGCTGCACCTCCCGATTACAGCCTGCAGATTTGTCGTGGAATAAGCCATTTAAGTCGAAAATGCAGGAACTATACGACGAATGGCTATTCAGTTGGCCGATTGAAAACCTCATTCGGTAATCGAAAACCTCCACCAAAACCAGTCCTACTACAGTGGATAAAGCAGTCATGACAATGCATAACCCCAGAAATTATCATAAAATCTTTCAAAAAATGTGGGATAACTTTGGCAATGGATGGCTCTGAAGACGAGCTATTTCCATCACTACTGACAGTAGTGATGACGATGACCCATTTGAAGTGTTTGACGAGGAAGATATTGCGATGGAGGAGGAGGTAGTAGAAAATATCGAATGTGGACATTGTGATTAGTGAGGGGGAGTCTGGGGCCAACAGTTTGCAGAAAGAATGTGACCACTCCACAGATTACGATAGCCCTGGATATTAATAATTCTAAATGAACTTAGCTGTTTTTTTTTGGACTGTACAGTTATTGATTGTTATTAACTACTGTTACTTGTGTTTTGAATTGCCGTTTACGTTGATTATAACTATAAATAAAAAAAGAGAAATGACAGGCGACACTACAATTTACAAAGGCATTTACCGTAAAACTTCTAATGTAATAATAAATAACCCTACTTTATTAACATTACCCACTCATGGCTAAAGTTAATATAAAATAATAACTCACTAATCTATAATTAAAAACACATTACTACCCCATGAAGTAAACGAAAATATAGACAAATGGCGTTATGATTTAAAATAGAATTCTGTAAAATGTAAAACTCGTAGTACTAGTACTTTCTTATTTCTTTGAATTGCTGACGTAATAACCTTAATTACAGTAGATGATAGGGGATATTATCAAAGAATAATAATAACGCAGGAGTTATTAAATATACTTCCGCCAGTGTTTAATGTAGCCTAGCGGTAAATCATAATTAATGATAAATATTCTAACAATTCTCGTATGTGCGATTGAATCATACCAGCATTTGAAATTAATATTGTGAAAATAAGTAATGTAAAAAAATCCAGCATTTGTATTTGTTATTGTACCGGCTGGAGAATACGCCTTTTTCACGAATCGGTAGACATCTTGAAGTGATGACAAACATTGCGAATCAGCGGTGCGTAACCAACAGAAATAAGATAAGCTTTTGGGCAGATTTTTTGACATCATGTTATTTAAAAAATCATAACTCTATAACGGGGCGTCATATCCAAAAAAAATTTCCAGCAAAATGTTCTTAAAAGACTAGTCTACACCACTATATGATTGAAAAAAAAATTGAAAAATTTTTTTGACCTCTGAAATCAAGATTGAAAAATAAAAGCCTATCTCAGTAGTGTATTAAAATAGGTATATGCATTACAGTGCTGTAGTACTAGTAATACTCTGAACTAGCATTGTTTTAGTTACCATATGAGAGTTTCCTGTGTTAAAAACATGATT